TTTCAGCTGTGGCGACATTATAATGTGTGATGGTCAATTCCACTATTTGTTGGTAGAATAGTAACCCAAGAATTGATGGTGGATGGTTGCCTTCCCACTAGTCTATCACTGCTAAATTAGGGGTGACTAGTGCAGATAGCCCTCATGTAGCTTTGTGTGAAATTCAAAACAAATGAAACAAACCATAATTCTTGAACAAATAAAACTGTTACATGATCTAAATTGGCAAATATACCCTTTGACATAGAAATATACTACAGAAAAAAAATAAAATGTTGTATAAAAATTAAACCTATAAATGATGCAAGCAAACACACACATTAACATAAATCCTTTAATAATGATACATTATATAAGGTAGAACCCATTAACATTCATATTACAAATAAAAATTAATGGAATACTTTACATACACAATGAAAATAACCCTTTTTACATGGATACAATTATTTTAATATAGGAAAATGGAATATCATTTAATAAAGATTAAAGCTTACATGAAACAATTTAACATTGAAAAATTTAAAACAAAATGCATAAGAAAATTAAAGAATAAAACTGAAATATTTACAATATGTATAAGAATAACTTGCACTTTTATATTTATGAAATAAATATATTTGCTACCACATACAGAACTAGAAGATAATCAGTATCCTTTAAGAATGATAACAATAAATGTAAAAACATATCCTTTAGTAAAAAAAAAAAAATCATTTATGAATAATCATAACAGGATTATTAAAAGTTGTTAATTTAAAAAGGGGAAATGTGATCTTCCAAAAAATACAGAAAAACAAGATATGTGGCATAAAGTCAAAAAAAAGAGTAAACAAACAATGGTACGTTTTTTTAGGGAGCCTGATGCTCTGATGAGCAGTATGTCCTTTTCCTAGGATAGTAGAATGATTGGATGCACTTGGAAGCTTGTCCATTAATGCTTCTCAACTCCCATCTCTTCTGTGATCCACAGCTATATCAGCTGGATACCTTCAAGCTAGAGGAGGCTTACCACTGTCACATGATCCACTAACATTGCAGTTTAGTGCCTGCTGTCTCAGCTCCAGTTGGTAAACGTCATCCACCAACAGAACATCTAGTCTTTCTCAGATGTTGAAAGGCTTTGACTAAAGCTGGGGTTAAATTACTCTGGGTGGCATAAATCTGATGGTCTTGTACAGACTGCTCCTTCTGGTCTCAGACTTGCTGGTTTCCACATCACCATGATGATCCTTAGTGAAGAAGAACAGTATGAAGGAAACATGGATATGTTTACCTTGTACTGTTCTTCGTGAATTAATAGTTATATTAAGATAGAAGTTGTTGACCTCTGGACCAGGGGTTCTCAACTGGGGGTAGAAAATTACTTGCAGGGTAGTGGTTCGGCATAGTAGCTACACATTAGTGCAGCTAAAAGAAATACTGATGGCACCACAGTGGGGGTACATGAGAATGTTGAAAACTAACTAGGGGTACATTACTATAAAATGTTTGGAACCCCTGCTCTAGACTATTATCAAAAGACCTATATCCAGGAAAAGACTTCTACTAGACCCCAAAGCTCTCAGCATCTTCCCTTGGTGGCAGCCTATTCCTTTGTATCATAAGTCTTAGTCATAGAAAATGCCATTTGTGTAACAATTAAGCCTTTTAAAACTTGTATTACACAAGAGTAAAGAGCAGTAAATACTTCAGCAAATATAGAAAGCTACATAATATGATATCCTTTGGTCATTGCTGTGATATATACAGGTAAATGAGTTAACCTTCAAGCAAAGAGATAGGTCAGCTTAATAATGAGATTCAGTCTAAATACTAGTCATGAAATAATGCAGAATTTCTTAATAGCTAATTTATGTTGTTAGATGAAATAATCAGGCTGGAAACAAAGTGAAATATAAGTGAACAGACTATCACTTTTACTTGATTCAACTGTTTCTCCTTGACGATCTTATTCCTGACTAATAAATCCAAGGTTCCAATATGGTCTTACCTCTACCAAGCATGTCTAGCTATCAGCCGGCCTTGTCAAACACCTTCCATTTTTCCATGTTTCAAAAGATTTTGTCATTCCCTGTCATTTCCTTCCTTTACTGCTCCTTTCAAGTCATGCATTCTCCATGTTCCTTTGATTTGCCTGATTGGAATTTCAGAATGGGCCTTTATGCTCTTTCCTGTCCTTTCTTTAAACCTTTATCTACATGTTCCATGTAATATCTCTCCCCCAAGACCTGTTTCCTTCTCTTCCTTGCTTGAAGATGTCGTCAATTAGGTATTTATGCCATTTACGCTACTCACGTCCTCCACCATTTCTTTTGTATCATCCTATATTCCAACCAGTCCTTTCTCCCTAAGACCTAGGCTACCCATGAAGGTAGTTTGGCTTTCACACCAATTTCCTTGCCTTCCATAACCCACCTGTACTTCCATTCTGATCCAGATTGGTATTTTTGTCTGATTCACTATTTACAGTGTTATGTGGCACATACTGCCTTCTTTTGGGTTTCATGTTCCCGACTTTTTATTCCCTGAAACCCTTCCTTTTCTTGTGATCTATCCCATGTCATGCTAACTGGTTGGGTTTGTCCACTCTTTAGTCTGGCGTATTCAGATATATCCATGGAAGGTTGTTGTCTCCACAATGTTTCTTCTCTTCAAATTTGTCATATCACCATGTCTTTGGCTGCTCCCCTTTCCTGTCCTTTGGAGGAGATCACTCATGTGGAAAGTGGACTATTCCCAATACCTTTGTTGCTCATTATCTGCATATCTGGCTATATCTTTCTCAGGTGGATATCATCTCTTTCTACACTTCCTTTTGCCTTTGACTGGGGTAAGTCCTATCATTTCCTTTCATTTATGCTTTAATTTCAGCAACCCTCATTTTACCACTGATAATGGGATCTCACTCTGTGGTGGGTGTTGCTTGGTCAGGTATACTTTGCCTCAAACCCACACTATTTACTGATTGTACTATAATGCTCACTGTTGAAATGGGGTGTTCGGCAAGACCACTGGTAGCATACCCAGTGGGATATGTGTGTGTATGTGTGTGTGTATATATATATATATATGTTTCTAGACATCAGTAAGTTTCACTCAGTGGTGGACTATCAATCATGGACTTCTTGAGTAAAGAAGAAGGGGATTTCTGCTCATCCTTGCTGAATCTTTGAATAAATTGGAGTCAGTCTGCTTTTCAAAATAGGGATTCCCAGACATTCATTTCACTTTCTTCTGTGTGAAGTTCCTCTGGATTCCCCATCACATTTACCTCCCCCTTTTTTCTTTAAGTGAAGCACAGGAGTCTTTACCATTTCCCAATCACTGGGGTGGTGGAACATGGTGGCTTTCTCCTGAGTGAGTTTAGAAATTTAGTTTACCATACATACTCATGATTATACACCCAGTGAGAAAAGGGCAAAGCTGGTTTCCTTCCCTCCATTTCCCCTGGATGCTTTTTCTGAGGTGGACATCTGTCATTTGGAGCAAGCCCAGCCTGAAGAGGATCCTCCTTGATATACTGGGTTCGGGATGACACCACCCTGTTCCTACAGTTATGTGCAGTAGGGGCCCCCTTTTCTCGTTAATTCTGGTTGCAGGAGGTTCTTTCCACATTATTACAGTTGAGTTTGTGGGACTTTGTCTGCATCATAATACCAGCAACAGAACATCTGTACACTGTTCCTATGGTTGAGTGAATGTTTCATGTCCTCCTCATAAATGTGGATGCAGGATTCGTCTTTTAGAGCCTGGCAATTCTCAAAAGTGAGGATTGAGCAGGAACAGCAGAAGGAGCTAGCTGCACCAATATTGGTGGAGAGTAGTCACATAATATGTACATGTTAAAAAATGGCATGAAATTGATAGTTTAGATAGATTGGTGTTTTGAGCAAGAAAACTTTTTAGCACTGCTTAGAGGGCAAAAAGAAGCTTTGTATGAGAAAAAGTGCAAGAAATGTCACATTTATCCAGAGTGACTAGAGCTACACACATGTGACTGGTAGTTCTCATTCTAACAGAGGTGAGTTTGTAGCCTAAAGATATCATCTGAATGACCATTGAAGGATACTGTTGTTAAGATGAGTAAAACTGCAGCAAATCTGATCCATCCATATGAAAAACAAGCATTTACATACTAAAGATCAACAAAAGCAGCTAGAATGAAATCAACTTAATGGTCTTCTCAACTACATGTTATGTGGAACCTGCATATTCAGAACAAAGAATGAATTCTGAGTAAATGCTATAATATTACAAGAAGATAGAAATGCATGGTATATTCATGTACCATACTGCATCCTACTTAATTTCCATTTTTTTTCTACTTTTTCCAAAACTTTGTATTTGCTTGTATATTTTCTGATGTATCCCATATATCTAGTGTCCTGTGAAATGGAAATAAATGATTTAAGTATTCAGTTATTTGGACCAAAAACCTGACCAGATATTTAGTATCTGGCCAAAACACTATTCACTATGTTGAAATTTATAAGTAGAGTTATCTGACCTTGAAGACTTCACTCAAACTAATGAAGACTAATTACAGTGTAAAAATTTATAAAACAATCTTCCTCTGAAGTTCTCACCTTATTAAAAAAAAACTACTTACTGAGTAAAAATAGACTTACAAAATGTCATCCCTCAAGTACTCAGTTAACCTAATGATAAAAAAAGTTATTATCTAAAAATGAATATGCAAGCAATTATACTCTAAAGTCTTAAGTTAATTTAATGAAAAAAAATAAATTAGTGTGAAATGCATACACCTGCTCAAAAACAATCTCACCCTCAAGCCTCCAATTAACCTAAAGAAAAACAAAAGTTAAATATGAGTTCAGAAGAAAAATGACATACTTATGAGCATGGTGATTAAGTTTAATTTGGCCTGATGTCTTCCCCAACACTTGTTGGTTACTACAAATTAACTAATAATCCTGTGTATATATTTTTTGCCGTTACTCTTTAAAAGTTAAATTTTTTTATCTTTATTTTTTCAGGAGAATTCTCTAAGAAACTTGAAGATGAATGATGAAAGTGATAGAGATGAGAAAGATATGAGCCTCAGTAACTCTTATGAACTCTCTTGGAATATCATGAAACATTCACCACAACTATCAATCAAGACACTTCCAGAACAGTCATGGAATTCTTTAGCATTAGAAAACAGCTCTTCCACTGACAAAGTTAATATTGTGCATAAGTTTCCTGATAATAAAAATGTCAGTACATTAACAGTTGCTGAACAACTGTGTCTAGACACAGGAGACAGTGAACAAATGAGCCAATCAGAGAAATTACATATGCATAGAAGAAATGAAATGATGGAAAAAAAGTATCATAACTTTTCAGATCATGAGGAAGGAAGTAGTACATCCAAATGTAATGAAAGTTTAAGAACAGACCCTTGTATCTTTGGTTGTTCAAGTGCTAGTGGGAACTGTCTTTTAGATGGAGTGAACACCTATAGCAGTAATGAAAGCCTTTCAAATAATCCTAATGACAAAATTGATAAAAATATTTCTTATGTCAAAGATGATGTTGACAAATACAGCAGTGATGACGACCTTTCTGAAAATCCTGATGATAAATGTCATGAAAGTTCTTTACCTATCACAAATAAAATCCGTACAGTTTTAACCCTACCAGCTTCAGAAAAGTTAGGAAGAGACAAGGTGGAGACTTTTGTTAATCCTGAAATCAAAGTTAAAAGAGATGTTACAAGTTATTCTAACCATAAGAAACCAGACAGTGACACACACCTAGAACCTGCTCCAACCCTTACAGAAATAAAAACTCCAGATTCTGTGTGGTCACAGCTATGGTGTAATGTTTTAGGTCAGTCACAAAACTCTGTTCATAAGGAAGGTGTTTCAGAGGTAGGAGCTTTTACCAAATCTGTTGTATTGAAAATATAACCACTTTATATCTATTACTTGTATTGACTTTTAACTTATTATCATACTTGCATACATTGTTTTTTGGTGTGTAACACAAATTCATAGTCCTGTTTTATTTATTTTTATTTTATGCATATGTTAAGAGAATTAAATGGTAAACTTATTGAAAAAGAGTACATTTTTGTCTGAGGTGTTAAACTATTTTGTTTGGCTAATGATGATGATAATAAGATGCCATAACTACTTAATATGTATAAGGGGGTGGGAAGAACTCTTAGGTTCTTTGTAATTTTGTTGAAGCAAATAATGTTTTGGGAAAGTTTAGAAACCTTATAGACAGTAACTTCTTGGCCATGATGAAGCTTATCCAAAAATTTTAAAGGGGCTGAGTAAGATGTTGGTGAGGGCTTTAACATTATAGAAGTCTTTAGGTATAGTGGAAATGTCTGATTACATGATTTCTATGTTTTGTGAATTATTGAAATTCATTATCAGGGATCACTTGGAAAAGGACCCTGAAGGTTGGAATTTAATTAACAATCGTAAGCATGACTTTAAAAAGGTTTTTTTTTTCTCATAATCTTGGAAATTTTCATACAAAATTTGTTTGACTGGATGAGGGCCAAGGGCATAAGGTAGCTCCAGGTGCACCAGAAAATTAGTTATACCCATGATGTGGAAAAAAAAAGTAGGGTGTTCAGGAATTGCTTCCTGAATACTGGAAGGATTTAAAATTCTCTGAAATGAAATCTGAGGCTTTCCTTGACTTAAAGTATGTTTAACTGAAATTAGTATTTTAAACCTCAGTGTGCTAGTACATTATTCAGGCAAGTGCTAAGACCAGAAACAACATAATATTTTAAGTAAAAGAGAACTTATTTATTTATTTCTAAAATTTACCCTTCTTGAAAAGTTTTGAAAATATATTGATGTTTTTAATTTCTCAACCTCATAAATATTAATTAGTTACCAATGTTGGTAAATAAAATGCAATTCCATAAAATTAAAATGTGTTTAGGTGAATGTAAAATTTCAAAGGTTATACATGATAAAACTAGTGGCAGCGTGCACAACATCTCTCATTTTGCAGTTTCATTTCTCTGCAGAACCTGTTTCTTACTTCATCATTAGGCAATTTGTAACTTGTCTAACCAATGGGTCACATTAACACACACTCAGTATTCTTTGTTTGAACCCATTTACTCTTTTCTTATGCAGAAATACTAAATTGTGATTGAAGCTTTGGTAGCAATTACCTAATATTTTATTACACTTTCATATATCATTAAAACTAAAACATGAAAATTGGTAAAATGTATTTGGTATATATTTAAGCTTAGGGACATGGAAATTCTATATGAGGCAGTATGTCACTTGCCTCACCTGATGAACCAACATTGAATTATTAAAGACTACCTTGCAACTTGCACCAGCTGTTTAGAAAGTCATTAACTGGTTCCATGTTTTTCTGATTGGCAGGCCATAGAGATATTTGGTATGGCCTAATGAAATGGTCCTTATATTATTTTGATTGTGAGACTTAATTGAGGAAAACATAATCTTTCAAATTACATGAATAGATATGGATGTTACAATACCTTAAAACATTTTATGTGGCCTAGTTTAAAATATACAGCATAACCTTGACATTAAGGATATCCTTCTGACTGCATCCAAATGCTCTCTATAGCAAGGTGCCCTTAATATAAAAAATGAGCCATGCAAAGCTGGATTTCATATTGACCGTACTAAATTTTTGAATTTATAGGTGCTCCATTTTTGTTTGGTGTATGCATTTAGAGCCATATTTGTTACGTGTATTTTAGCAATGTTTTACTGTAAAAACATTAAATAAATGGAACAAAGAAATACATGTTTTTTAAACTTCTTTCTATTCCATAGGTATGAAAATACATGTACAAGTAAAAAGTTACCATGCATTTGTACATCACACACATTACGTCATTAGTGCAAATATGTGTATAGCAAATGTGTACTCTTATTCTTTATGTTATTGGTTATGTGTTTACTTTGTAAAAAAGTCTTTAATTTAATAGATGCTTGTTTGTCACATTACACTGGTGGTGTTGCAATTGACCCTTGAGAGTCATGACAGTGTCTAAAATGTCTGATAAACCTCCTCAAGTGCAAATTATTTTAGGTCAAAATCCCATTGTTGTGCTTGCACGAATGATTTGATGTTGGTGGATAGTGGTTCTGACTTGGACAAAGGGGTTGGATCCTTATCATCCAAAGTGAGAAGGCTTTTCACTTTGAGAAGGCTTTCCTGCAATTCATTGCTCCCATCTCTCTTCAAGTTCTTCTGTTGCTGGAGCATCTTTGTCCCAGTCTTCAAACTGTGCAGATGTAAAAACTTCTTCATTTCTGGTTATGTATGACAGACATGTCATCAGCTCACTCAATGGAATGTTGTTTTCCTTGTCTTCTCCAGGAACTGTTGGGATTTCTTCATCCACTTTGATTCCAAAGAAATGGAAGCACTTTGCACATAGTTATAAAATCCTACTTCCCATTCAGCAAACTTATTCATCAACTAATAAATACTCTTTATTCACAAGTGCTTAAATTTTAGTTATCTTTATTAAAACATAGAAGAATGAATATTAAATACTTCAAAAAACAAAGATTTTGAGTACTTACAGTGTTATAAGTAATAGTAAAGTTATTTAATAAAATTTTTAAAACTCTCTAAAAGGTCATGACATGTGCACTTTAACCTGCCTGCAGCGAAAGGGATAACTGTCTGCTTTATCGAGTGCCCATACAGAGAACAAAACTAAAGACACTGCCGTTAGTCCAGAATATTAAGGTGCCCATTATTGCAAAATTTATTTTTGTTACAAATAGTAGAAAAAAGGAGACTGAAAAAGTCTGCCCTTTATGGCTCAGTGCCTGTTGTTTCAATGTGCCTGCCCATTAATCAAGGTTCTACTATAGTTCACATTCCTTCGTATCAGTTGCCAATAAAATATCTTTGATTCACATGAAAACAATATATTGCTTACCATATTTTTTTACAATAACGTGGTAGTGCTTATGATGACAGGTACAATTGTTGCACTTGGAAGCCAATCAATTTTCTTCAAAAGCATGCATACACTTGTTGTCTCTCTACATAAACTGAATTGCTTTATTAGGAAGAACATGTTTAGAAGTGATGAGGTTACCCATTGGCTGAAACTGTAGATTGATTTCTAATTAAGTGAATGATGATTCAGAGAAACATAAGCGTAACTAGTAGTAGCATAAAGAAAACATAATTGAAATGGATTGACTGGAAGAAAGGAAATATCTAAGACATCATTCAAGCAATAAAACAGTTTTGAGCACTGGCACAAAAATGTAGTGCATAGGGCTGTTTATGAAGATTTGTTCACTAGTCAGAGGTTTGAAAATGGTTTTAAACTTTTGAATGTTTGTTAGGTGGCATTCAGCAGTGTCAGATTTGTTTTTGTTTATCTCTGTTGTTAACAGAAATCATTTGCAATGTTTAAAGAGTAATCACAAACTAAGTGTTACATACATGAACAATTTGATGTCTTGGTTTGTATAATGGCCATTACTCAAACAAAATTAGTTTTATTAGAAGCTCAAATCCTCAAAATGTTATACATAGTATCTCATTCAGTGCATTTGGAGCAAACAATTATGGTGAAACATGGGAGGGGGGTATATTTAGCTGGATAACTTTTAATTGGCTACATTAGGGTGCTCTTATAATGCAAGCTACTGTGTGTAGCTGTACGAGTATCGCATGTAGCATCAAATGCATATACACAAACAACATGCATGTTTTTAAATTCAGAATATAAAAACATGATTATTGTTCTGTATAATGTATTTTTCAACTACATCTGAATATATTTTTTTCATTCATATGGATTGGATTACCTGTATAATAAAATGGGTTTTCAATCAAATATGAACTAGTATTTGATGATGTCATTAGGAAATTATGCAGTAATGTGTTCAAACCTTCAGAGGTAGACATTTACCCTTTGTAAAAGCCCTACTAGTACACAACATATTAAATTTGATGGTGCACTTGCATTACCAAGCACTATGGTTGATGTATATCGAGATCCCCAGAAGGCTTTCAGTGACATGCTTCTTTATAGGATTAGCAATAAGTTAGATGTTTATAGAGTTGAGGAAACACTCAAAAGGTAGAATAAAACTTAACTTGAAAAAGATGGTTGTGATTTATGGGCATCATTCTGATTTGGAAAGTTTGACTATTGAATTCCAAAATGATCTGCTTTGGAATCTCTGTTGTTTATTATCTGTGTTTAGTGATATCGAATACTGTATAAATAATAAGATTCATTTTACTGATGGTACTTATCTGATGGGTAAGGCTGATTACAGAATATACTTCTTTAATACAAAAAGAATTGCACTGTCTTGCTGACTGAGCTAAACCGTAAAGAATTAGTTTGAATGTTTAAAGTATAAAGTAATGCACATACCTTATTTTTTATGCTTTGATTTGTAGTATTATACTTTATATTGGTGCTGAGTTCCTAGGAACTTATACTGATTATTAATGATGCTTTAATTTGTATTGTTATACCATATATTGTAATATTAAAAAATTTTACGAGTATTATTACAGATACTCTACATTTCAAACATTACAAGTCTGATAATTGTAGACTTTTGTAAGGTGTCTTTATACCACTGGTATCATTTAAAAATTATATTTATTTTATATTTTCATGCATGCATATGAAAAAATTGTTTCACTTTCAATTTTTTTATCTGTCTCTATGGTTACTTTTTTATTGAACTCAGATGCTCATCTTGAGTAAAAACAATAACTTACTAGAGTTTAAAAATTGTCTAAGAAGCTTTACTGTAAGACCCAGAAAAAAATTAAAAATCTCCATGGTGACTACAAATAATAATATGACTCTTATGCAATTTTCTCAAGACCATTTTGAATGACATAAATCAGCACAATAAACAGGGAGTGGAAGAGGTAGTGAGAGTAATGATGAAACTTATTTCTGAACATGTGGATGACAAGGAATTTTACTCTCTCAGTCCTGCCTGTGCTTTGTTGAAACTTCAGAACTGTCTTGATAGATACAAAGGTACTCTAAAGAACCTATCTGAGAGAAATGATGAGGTTAGTAATTTTTTCAAACAGGCATAATTGCTAGTTTTTTATGAGTAAATCTCAACGGTACTTTGACCAAAATCATATTTAAAGATACTAAGCATTTATAGTTATTTTGTAGGTAGTTGTTAAAAATATCAAGATAATATTTTATACGCATAAAGCTGTCATAATGTTATATAATCTTTTCGCTACTGCATGATTTGTAGTGATTTTACTTTATGTGAAAATTGTTATTGTGAAGTTAGTCTAAAATATTGAGACATATAAACCAAAGAATGCAATGGAGATGTGACTAAACATTTAGAGATATTGAGAAAAAATAAAAGGGTGACCTTAAATTAAAAGGACTGAAAAATCATGATAATTAACTTGAGAAAAAAACAAATGAAGAGCAAGACCACCAATTTAAAGTATTACTATTATGTTTGAGTGTAATGTACCTAAAACATTTACATAATGAACTGCAGTTCTG